TTTTTATATATTTGTCCATGACTTCTTTTTGCTCTTTTAATACCGTTTTTTAAAAGTCTTTGTCTAATAAGTTTAAAGTCTGGGATTCCTCATGTATGATTTCTGTCAGTTTGTTTTGTTCCATTGGATGACCTGCACTTTCCCATTTCTTTGTATATCTTGTAAATATTTTGTTGTCGATGTTGAAAATAGGACACTGGAATCATACACAGTGTTAGCTTTAGAAATAATATTGTCTCCCTTCCTCGATGTTTGCTGGCATTTTGATTGTTTGTTGTAGAGTTATCTGTGCCAAGGATCAGCCTGAGGTGAAAGTTTAATTCTTCTAGGTCTTCTCTGAGCCTACATCTTTCCCTGGATATTGGTAATGACTTTTTACATTCACTCGTATATGTATTTGTCTTCAAATAACTTTGAAAACTGGGATCGCTTTCCCTGGAAGTTCGTTTAACCAGAAGGGGTTGTAACAATGGCATCCAATCTCTGTGCCTCTATTTCAGTGATCAGAAGTAGCAATGGACAAACAGAACACATAGCCATGATAGATGAAGGACAAGGTCCTTATAGCTCACTCTGGCTCTAGTAAGCCACACCAGGAACACGGGACCACCTGCTTGCCACAGGGCTGAGGTTGGGAGAGAGGTAATCACTATCGTACTTAAAGCTGATGCTCATTGATACTCAAGTTATCAGTCAAGTTCTTCCCTGGAAACTCTAAGTATTCAGTTAGACTCCAGATTTGCAAAAATAGTTACTTCAGACAGTTTCTGCCACTACAAGTATTGTCCAGGTGAAGAGAAGGATTCTGGGGATTCCTCCTCTGCCTTCCCTGAGGTCATGCTAGAGTAATTATTGAAATCAGGTGGTATAAATTTTCCCACTTTAGTTTTGTCTGTTTGCGGTTATATGAATCTCCATATAAGTTTTAGAATTAGTTTATAAATTCCTACAAAAATCTTGCTGGGATTTTGGTTGAAATTGTACTGAACCTATATATTACTTAGGACCAGTATACTTCTTAGTAATATGTAGTCTTCTGTCCATGTCCATGGAATATGTATTCATTTCTTATTTTTCATTTCTCTTGGCAATATTTTACAAATTTTGCACATATAAAGTCTTATACATATTTTGTTAAATGCACCCCTAATTATTTAATTTTTACTTGATATTGTACATGGTATTTTAAAATTTTGTTTTCCAAATGTCCATTCCTACATAAAGAAATGAAATTTGCTTTTATATACTGGTATACTATGATCTTCTAAATTTACTGATTAGTGTGTGTAGCTTTAAAAAAATGGAATTCCAGCCGGGCTCAGTGGCTCAGCCTGTGATCCCGCGCCTTTGGGATGCTGAGGTAAGTGGATTGCCTGAGCCCGTGGGTTCGAGACCCGCCTGGGCAGCAAGACCTCATCTCTACAATATATCAAAAAATCAGCTGGGCGTAGTAGCGTATGCCTGTAATTCGGGCTACTGGGAAGGCTGAGGCGGAAGGATCGCCGGAGCCCAGCAGGTCGAGGCTGCGGTGGCTGGAAGCGGCCACTGCACTCTAGTCTGGGCGACCGAGTGAGACTCCAACTCAAAAAAAAAAAAAAAAAAAAAAGAATTCCTAGCATTGTCTAGGTAGACAACCATTTTATCTATTAATAAAAATATTTTTACTTTCAAACTTCATGCTGTATTTTTACTGCCTTATTATACTGTGTAGAGTCTCCAGTACAATGTTTAAAATAAGTGCTTACCCCTGTTCCTGATCTTAGGGTGAAAAAGTCCAATATTTCACCCTTAAATATGATGTTACCTGTAAATCTACCCTGTTTTACATACTTCTTAAAAAAACATGTAATTTTTCATCTCATGCTCACATCTTTATTGTATTATTTACATATTATATATTATAAAACTCTGAAGGAAGCCCTTTAGGAGCAATATTAAAACAAATTATTCACACGAAGTAACTATTCAATTGAATTCAGTGAGTAGAGCTTTTTAAGCTACCATGGCATGGTAATGTGCGAAGTACACCAGGGGATGAAAACATAATATAATATGCACCCTAATCTCAAGAAGAGGAAAGAGAACTCTTTATATTTACAGATAAATTTCTCTGTGCCAATTACTGCACTTAAAAGCATGTAACGGATATGCCCGTGTACCCCCCTGAATCTAGAATAAAAGTAAAAAAGAAAGAACTCTGAAAAAAAAAAAAAAAGAAAAAGGAAAAAAAACCTTGGGTGATATAAAAAGGATATAGCTAATAAAAGACATTAATGTAATGCTTTTATTGCCCCCAAGCGACAGATAAAACCATACATTTATCATCATCTACTCTTCACATTGAGGAAAAAATTCTGAATACTTTCCAAAATATAAATTCGTTTCAAAAGGGCTATTAGAAAATAGCATTATTTCATATGGTATTCAGTCATAGACACCTGAAACAATGAGTCTCTGAAGTGATTATTACAAGGAAGCTTAGATTAGAGAGGAAAACACAGGACCTAGGATTCGACTGCAATGTATAAATCCTAACAGCTCCATGACACTGGTCTGGTTACTTAACATCTCTGGACCTCAGTTCCCTCAGTTGTAAAACAATGATAACTTCATAGGGATGTTATAATATTTACTTGAGATGACTTTGGAACCTTGTCTAGCATCTGGTAATCACTTATTTATCATTAAGGATGAGGAAATTTTAAAGCATAGCACCTAAGAGCTTGAATAAATAGAGAATCTATAACCCATCCTTCCGTATCTCTCTTTTAATGAAAGAATACATTAAAAGTCAAATGAAACAAAAGTTTGGGAATGAGTAAAAATATAGAAATCTCCCAGAAGTACCATTTGTTCTCGCATAAATGATCCATCAATAGGAATGAAATACAGGTGTGGAAAACTAATTAGAAGGGTGGGGAATTATAATGTATAATGTAGGAGAATGTATGGATTCTCAACTAGGCCTGCCATTAACTAACTAGGTGAGCATAACTCTTGTAATTACTGAGCTCCAATCACTCAGCTTAAATAGAACAACTAGTCTATTCTGACCTCACAAAGCATACATGCTGCTAAAAATCAGCAGGTTGGGCTGTAATAACAATTCCCTAAAAATAATAATAACAACGTGAGAAAGAATGAGAAGCATTGACTAACAGCTGCAGCAGATACTGTCACTTAGCTGTTTAAAAAACTCCAATATTTACAAATTAGTTAACAGTTAAAAAAAATTTTTAAACCTAAAAGGTAAAATACATAGATTTTTTTTCTTCCTCTTTGTTCTTCAAGTCAATAGTACAAGAATATTCTTTGCAGCAATTGTTTGAACTAACAATATGTTGGAAACAGCTTTGATACTGGCCAGTCTATATAAATAATGGGAAATCCATACAACAGAATATCAGAGATCTTGTTATAAGAGTGAAGCGTTTGTAGTGCTACTAATGTACAAAGTTCTACAAGCTATATTATTCAATAAAAACAGTATACCACCATTTGGGTTAAAAAAGGATGTCTACAAGTATGTTTGCATGCACTTAAAACAATTTCTGGAATGCTACACAAGAATCTTAAGGCCAGGCTCGGTGGCTCAGCCTGTAATCCCAGCACTTTGGGAGGCCGAGGTGAGTAGATTGCCTGAGCCCATGGGTTTGAGACCAGCCCAGGCAACTTGGTGAGACCTCATCTCTACAGCAAAAAGAAAAAAGACAAATAATTAGCTGGGCATGGTAGCACACGCCTGTAGTTCCAGCTATTTGGAAGGCCGAGGCGGAAGGATCGCCGGAGCCCAGCAGGTCGACGCTGGAGTGGCCATGAGCGTGTCCCTTTACTCCAGCCTGGGAAATGGAGTGGGACTCCAACTCAAAAAAAAAAAAAGAATCTTAAAGCAATGATCTCAATGCTCTAAGAAGAGAAACTAGGAGATAAAGAAAGAAGAGAGACTTGCTTTTAAATATACACGCTTTAAAACATGCATTGCATTTTTACCACCCATATATTGCTGATTCAAAAGAATAATTAATGTTTAACATTTCCCCGTGTAAAAACAGCAGCCTCAAGATCACTGTGTTTCTAACACTAAACCAACTATTTCCAAACAGCACATCTGACACCACCAACTGGCAGATCTTGAAATATTGTTCTTTCATGTATTGAGTGTATACCCTGTGCCAAGTATGCATTAGTGATATAATAATAAATCAGTTGATTTAAAAAAAAAACTCCAATAGATCTCCCATTTGTAAAGTCCAAATTTCCTAGCCTAGCATGTCATCTAGCATTGTTTAACTGCTCACATCTAGCATCACACCATGCTGTATCACAGTCTTGTGTTCTTGTGCCCATTTTTTCTTCTACCGGATTCTGACCTTGCCTTATTTCATCTTATTTTCTATTCCTGAGTAATTCCTACTCACTTGTCAAGACATAAATACTATTTCTTCTGTGAAGCACTGTCTGGCTCTCTTGGAATTCAGTCATCTTCTAAGTTCCCATAAAGTACTTAGTACCTATTACTACAATAGCATTTGCTGAATTGTATTATTGTTATCTACTTATATGTTCATTTACTTATAATTGTGAGCATCTGAAGGGCAAAACCTACATCTAATTATCTTTGATCCCTAGCATTTAGTTCATCTAAGTGATCAATAAATCATTGTAGATTAAAAATGAATATATATGAATATTGACTGGATGATTTTAAATGTCTCAGAAGTTTTATCATATTAAGTATGGGAGAAATATTTGAGACAATATTAAACAAATTCTTCTGTTCAATACTTGACAAAAAATGAGAGGTGATGACTTTTCCAAGATAATACCTGATGAGTTGATGGTAAAAGCCAGACTGGTATTTGTTTTCTGACTTCTCATTGAGATATTATGTCTTGTCTATTTTCTTAAGTCAACGATGAAAAGTAATTTGTAAAAGAAAAAGAAAATAATACCACAGATTATCCTGTAATATTAATGACCCTGCCCCCTTGGTTTTACAGTTGTGTTCTTCTTGCCTTCGGATGTTACTCAAAATAAGGAACAACCTGCCCCAGAAGAAAATGCTAAGTTACAATGTGAACTTCAAGAGGAGCCTTCAAATGAGAATACAACAAACACACAAGTTGTTTTCTTTGGAGGCTATGCTTTCTTCAAGTTAAGAGTCTCTCTGAGTCCTTCAGCTTCCCAACCCAAGTCAAAAACCATCTAATGAAAATAAGGATAGTGACTGCACACTTTCTGCACCTGTGACAGATGGACAACAGCAAAGTATCCCTCCACCTTTCAAATTTTTAGAGGAAGAAACTGAGCTGAAACCTTTGCCTCCCACAGTAAGTAAAAGGTCCTCAGAAAATTTGATGCACATTCAGCAAGACTCTAAATTTGAACAAATAAAAGACAAAGACCTACAAATTGCGGTGTTACAACGTCCCAAAAAGCAAACTCAGTTGTTGCAGGACCAACCTTTGTCACTCCAAGTTCACCCATCCCTCTCCATACTAAAACTTCCAGATCTAACTCTTGAAGATTTGCCATCCCAAGCTCCACCATCTCAAGCTGCACTAGTGCAAGCCCACTGGGTAAAACCCATGCTAGCTAAGCCTCCATCTCATGCCACACGGTCTTATAACCTGACAGTTGAAGACCTGCCCTCACATGACATACCACCCAAAGACACGCCATCCCAAGACATGCTTTCCCAATCCCCATCAGCACAAGCCTTGCTATCAGTAGCCCCAACATCCCGTGTTGTGCAGCTCCCTAACATACACCTACTTCAGCAATCTCCGGGTCTTCAACCGCAAAACATTCAACCTGGAAACCAACAATTTTTACAAGTAGCGTATCAAGACATTCAATCAGAAGTCACTGAAGGGACCAAAGACTGGAAATTTGATGCAGGACTCCACGGCAAGAAATTCTCAAAACAACATTCCTTGGACCTTCAAAGAAAAAGCTGGCAATTTCGAAGGAGGCATTCCTTAGACCTGCAAAGCAAAGGCCGGCAATCTCCAAGGCGGAGAGCTCTAGGCCAGCGAATCAAAAACTGGCTATCCTCAAAAAGACACTCCATCGATAAGCAAGTCCAACAGGGTCAAACCATGGAGCATCTTCCAGATCAGCAAGATGAAGATCGGCAGGACAAAGGGGAGCAGTCCCCAAAGGGACAACCCAAAGATGAACTAAATGAAGATGGGCAGACCGACAAGGAGCAGCCCCCGAAGCAACAAACCCAAGATCAGCACACTGAAGATGCGCGGGCCCAAGAGGAGAAATCCACCAAGGAACAATCCCAGAACCGTCAGGCTGAAGGACAACAAGCTCAAGTGGAGAAAACTCCAAAGCAGTTATGCCTGGATTGGGCATCCCGAGTCCAGGACTACCAATTCTGGCAATTCCCCCAAGAGCAATCTCCAGACTCCACAACCCAAGACTGGCGATCTTTTGGCCAAAACTTCCAAGACTGGAGAACTCAAGGCTGGAGAAACAAAGATTGGAAAACACAGGAATGGCAATTTGAAATGCAGCACTCCCTAAATTGGCTAACCCAAGATCTATTAGAGAAAGAAGCCGTCAAACAGAGAGCTCTGTACCAAGGAGTCCAAAACCAGCATACCTCAGCCCCATATAACCTCGACTGTCAATTACAAGATGATCTATCTCAAGACAGTCAAGATGAGGACTTTCAATCCAGAACTATACAAAAAGAAGATATGCGAGCAAGAGACATCAAACCAGGAGACATGAAATGGACAGGCCAAAACCCAGGGGACCTGCAATCAGAAGACATAAAGCCAAATTCTCCTTCGGACCAAAGTTCAGTACAAGACTCATGTTTAGGCTGTCTATCCAATACAGGTTCAGAACAAGATGTGCAAGCAAACACTCCAGTTAGCTCAAATTCATACAGAGAAGATCTGAACTTAACTTCTACCTCATGTGAGCCAAAATATCAACAGCAGTCTGAAGACTCTGACTAACATACAGAATTTACCCAAATACCACACTACCCCCCCAACAGTGGAATCCAATTAGGGAAAAACATAAACAACACAGTCTCCTCCAACCTGTATGCACAACTGTGGTTGCTACCTAATTAACTCAAAATTCAAAAAAAGAATGGCATTGCAGAACACTCCGAGAATTTGTCCTTACTTAAAATAAAATGAAAACAAATCAAATGTTGGCACTTTATGGGTGTGAGGGAATAATTTGCACGTAAACTTTTGGTCATTGAAGTTAATGTTCCCATTTGTTATCACCAATTCACTTTACAACTTCATATTTAAAAGACTTCCTTTTCTTTGGTGCTAGTATTTTTTGTTGCTTCCTTTGTGCATTACAGAGGTTCAGAAAGCAACTGGGGAGAGGCCTCTACAAGCTCTCAAAGGGCTCATGAACCAAAAGAGTCAGCAAGAAACAAAAATCGCTCCCTCCATTCCCTTGTTTTTCTGTCTCCAGTTCTTTTACTTTCCCTCTCTATGTCTATATTGAGGTTAGATGCACTCAATATATTGAGGTTAGATGCACTGTTTGTTCAACTACTGAGGTGGAATGTGGCAATTAGTACAGAATGTGATGGATGTAGGGGGCGGTGGGGAGTGGATAAAACATCCTAGAGACAGGAAAGTAGAAGTCAGGAAAGGGCAGAGACACAAGTATCATCATAGAAAATATGACAAATTCTAGTGTAATGAGTGAAGTGTTAGTTTCCTTCCTTAGACCTGTATTCACACCTCAGTTCTCAATCCTTATGACATAATTTCATCCTCTGTGGTTAAAGGATTTTGTGCTATCAAAAGCCAGTTACTGTCCATCTTCCAAGCCTAATCACATTTTTTCAGTTCTCTTCTTCTTTGGTCTTTTTGACACGCTCAAAAAACTTGTCCTGGCCAGGCTCAGTGGCTCAGCCTGTCATCCCAGCACTTTGGGAGGCCGAGGCAAGTGGATTGCCTGAGCCCGCGTGTTCAAGACCCACCCCAGGCAACTTGGCGAGAACTTGTTTCTACATAAATCAAAAATTAGCAGGGCGGGTAGGGTGCCTGTAGTTCTGGCTACTTGGAAGGCTGAGGCGGAAGGATCGCCTGAGCCCAGCAGGTTGAGGCTGCGGTGACCGGTAGCGTGCCACTGCACTTCAACCTGGGCGACAGAGTGAGACTCCAACTCAAAAAAAAAAAAAAAATTGTCCTTATTTAAAATAAAATGAAAACGAATCAAATGTTAACCCAATATTTGGAGTTGCTAGTCACCCCTTCTTTCTACAATTTTCATCACCCCCATTAGCTTCCATGCTTTGCTCTCCTGTTTCAAAAGTGCTATAAAAGGTATTTCTAGGGATTTCTCCCCACCTCCTTCACGTTTTGTAATCACAATGCATGACTGCCGTCCTCTTACCTTCTTGGAAATAATCCAAACTGTGTCATATTTGCATCCTCTACAGAAATCACCATCCAGTCTTCCTTCTGGTAGCATTCAATTATTTTTAAAAGCACAAATAAGTCCCTCCATCATCCTGCAGAGGCAGTCCGGGGCTCCCAGGCGCATTCTCCCAGAAGGAAGGAGTGCATAATCAATAATTGTAGGAAGGTCCTGAGGCCAGCAGCTGAAAATCTGCCCCCTCTGTGGGCCCTAATGCCCCCTTTGACCGCATTAGGGCCCACTCCACTTTTTCCCAGCTGACTCTGAACCCCTGAACACCTTTCTGGGGTCTGCAGCAGGAACGGGCAGGATCCCTTCATGGGGACCAGGGACTTGTTCTCTCGAGGAGCCTCGGTTTTGGCAGTGTTGGAAGGAGAAAGGGTCTGGACTATTAATTTTTTACTTTTATTTTTATTTCTTTATCTTTTTAAGATAAGCGGTCTCTCATTCGGTCTCCCAAGCTGGTGGAGTGCTGTGGTGTGATCACCGGTATTTCAACTCTCTAGCCCTATGTCATCATTTCGTTCACAGGGATGTGGATTACCTTTCCCTTCCACAAGATGTCACACTGTTCCGTTACATCGATTACATTACGCTGACTGGACCTAGTCAACAAGAAATAGTAACTACATCTAGACTTACGGGTAAGGTATGTACACGACAGAGTATGAGAAACAAATCTGACAAAATAAAATCATTACCTAGTATATCACACGGGTAAAAATAGACAATATACAAAGTTAAAGAGAAATTAGAACTCTGTGATAAATTTAATTAGAAAGACCAAGGGAGCTACTGAAAACATTGAACCAATGAGAAAAGTATTTGCTAAGACTGAAGTCTTCAATTTCAGAATTGCAGCTGTGGAACCAAAAATCCTAGAATTTTTCGGATCTGTTAGCTACTGAACTATATAGTCGTTTGGGGAATATTTGCCATCAGATTAAAGTTGTCATGTTTATACCCTGGCAATCCAAAGAAAGCGGAAGACTCTTTAAGTTCGGAGAACATTCCCAGTTTCATTTCTTTCCCAACCCTTTGATGTTTCTGGGCCTTAAAAAAAAGTTCCAAGTTTTTACCAGTCATCCCTACACAAGTCATGGAGGCAGCTTCAATTTGAATTGGTTTATTGGTTCCTTAATCTTTCAAAATGTGGTTTTTCTCTCTCTAATTTACTTTCTAAATAAACTATATTTTCTAATCTACCCCCGCCCCCCAAAAAATGTGGTGCAGAGATCCTCTCTGGGAAAGAATCATCTATATTTTGGAAACCCCTCACTTGTGCTTGTAATGCCCGGAAAGGCAGGCAGGCACATTCCATTTCTTAAAAGGCGAATAATCTTAGTGAATCTCACAGACACAGAGAGTCCTGAGCAGATCTTCGTTTCATCCATTAGATTATACAGGAATTCACAAGGTTCTCTTTGGATATCTGGGACTTCCCATCTTTCACTCTATTCCTCCCACTAATGCGTACCACTTTTTCTCTGTGGTCCTATGGTAGTTTTCTGCCTCTCTGGCCTTCTCTAGGATTGCAGTGTGGGGTGGCAAGGCAGACTTAAGGTTTTACACATCAATGGAGAAAGTTTTAGGTCCTCAAGGCAAAACTTTGAAGCTTCAAACTGAGCCCATAGAATCTAAGTGCAAACCAAACGGATCATAATTTTGACTCAGCAACATTACTACCTTGGATTCTTTGGGCAAGTTTCTTAAACTCTCTGTGTCTAAGTTTACTCATCTATAAAAGATGAAGAGGAATATTATCCAGCACAGAGTTGTTGTGAAGATTGAATATGAATGCATGTATAGTGTTTAAAAGAATATCAAGCACAGAGTAGATACTCAATCTCTTCCATAATATAACACCTATAAAACTAATTATCTTACTGGTAGCTATACTAGTAGTTATTGCTTCTCATGGCATACATTTGATTTAGTTTATGCCAGTAAAGATTCTCTCTCTTTACTCTGAGTTATACAAATTACCTCCCTGCTATGTACTGAACGATGACACTGATACAGAGACCCTCTAATGTCTGTCCATATTGTCACAGCCCCTAGAGCAGGGGCATGGCCAGGCACAAGCGCTCCTGTACATTCTTGAACAATATTTCTGATAGCTAGTAAAAGGTGTGCTTCTCCTTATCTCCTATGCACTGCCAGTGAGTAGCTTCAGGGGATGCTTGACTTCCCTGTAGTCTATGCCCCTTCAACTGAAAGATGCAAATCTCCTTTTACTCCCTTTTTCTGAGTGGTCATAAGTTTGAATAATATAGTATCCATGTACTCCTAAACCTTGTGAATTATATAACTTTTGTATCAATGTAATCATAAGCTTTGTATAACTTTGTATAACTTTTGAGTAATGCATGAAGTCTTGGGCCCTTAAGTCTTCAAGCATGCTTGATCCCTGCTTCTGTCAGGCCCTACTGATAAAAGCCATGAGATACCTCTGATACCTGGCACCAGGAAGTCTGGACCGAAAAATGTCACTATCAATAAATGCGGCTGAAACTCAAGTTCTATACAATGCTCTGCTGGTCACGTGGCTAATGTATAGGTACTAACAATCCTGGACTATAAAAGTGAACTGTAAAAGCCTAAAGGGTGAGCAGAACCATTTTAGAAAGACCTCGAGTCTGACTCTGCTCCCTGAATTTGAGCTCAGAAATAAACTTTTCTACCAGTTCCCTGCCCCTTTGATTTACTGGTATCAAGGGCAGCAACTGAGCGGAACTTGAACCATACAGTGCCCCCACCATCACATTCATATCTTGAAGCTTGAAGCTCAAACTCCCAATGCAATGATATTGGGAGATACGGCCTTTAAAGATACAAAGTTTAAATGAGGATGTGAGGGTGGAGCCCTCATGATGAAATCAGTGCCCTTATTAAAAAAAAAACAAAAAAACACCAGAGAGTTCTCTCTCTTTCTCTCTCATTTGTGTATGCACTCCTGCAAACACACAGAGGAAAGGCCATGTGTGGACACAGCAATAAAGCTGTCATGTACAAGCCCAGAAGAAAGATCTCACAAGCAACCACACTGGCTGACACCTTGACCTTGGACTTCTCAGCCTCCAAAATTGTAAGAAATAAATTTCTGTTACTTAACTTAC